GATCATATTGTTTTCTATCGAACTCCATGTTTTTTGCAATGTAAAACTTTCCAATCGCTAAATAAAATCAAATTGAATAAAAGCTAACAAACTTAAGATTATTTGCTTAGTTAATTATAAGGACATGATATTGACGTAGTAACAAAATACTTTTTTTCTGTGAAGACAAGGCTGTAACAAATCTGTTTATATCCAAGGGCATACGATACAGGTACAGGGGAGATAATGACGTCGCTATCGTAAAAATGTTATTTTTTCTCGACGTCAAACTGTGATACATTGGGAAAGCATGTATTTTTCGACCCATTTTAATCATTTGCTTAGAGGAGTACATGGATTTTTAAATGACATTTGGCCTGATTATGTATGAAGATTATGTGTACCAATTTTTGTGAATAAATCACCGATGGAAATTTACCACAAAATATGCCGTTTTTTATCTAAAATTGTGAAAAGTTAATAAAAATGAACTATTCCCAAAGAATTGTTACACAAATTTATAATATATTTATGTGAATAAGATATTCCAAATGTTGTTTTTTTTCAAATCTTTTTGCTTTTATCTTTTGAAACAAAAACGGTAGGTATGCCTATCCAATGAATAGAAATATCCGAGAAACCGAAATTTTGAGTTAATGTCTAAAATTTCGAACCCATTTATCTCTGAAAGTAGCACATGTGGGTGCATTTTTTATTATAAATTAGAATTGACTAGGTGATAAATAGCTTATATGCAAATTTTCGTAGAAAAATCACTGGGGGGTCAAAACTTTATCATATGCCCTTTATAGAACATTTCAGTTAAAAAAAAAACATTTGTTTTAGTGTAACTTACAAAAAGAAACCAAATTTTTCATAGGAGCATATTCATGTAAAATTTTGCTTCTATATATTGAAATGATAAGCCATCTAGAAATTGACTACGTGGGTCAACTAAACTTAAAGATTTTAATTTGTCTATTCTGAACTTATGATTTCCTTGATAGAAGGATGTTATTGAATCAATGGCTCCAACTGGTAAAGTTGGGGTCATTCACTCGAAAGTTTTACGGACGTCATCTATCATTTGGTAAACCTTTATGGGATCTCTGTGTCACATATGACTACAGGCTGATCCACTGGTCACAGGAATCCCGTCATCTTGTTCTTGATTGTGGCGTCACCGAATGCGATTTTTCACTGAAGTATTAGTTGCATTAAGTAACAGGACGTGTCAGTTTTTATTGACGGGTGCTAGAAGTGGCGCAGCAACTACTTACTCTCGAAACATCTCTGGCTTTAGGTTGAGTTCGGGTTGCCCATTCTTACGTTTTCTGTGTATTGTTGTGTTGAATGTTATTTGTCTTTTTGCATTTTTTTATCTACTTATACTGAAATTACATAAGTTTCAGATAAGTTGAATTTTAAATGTCATGATTGATATCCCAGCGAATGTTAATTTCATGTATCAAATATTATTACATCATAACATACAGATCGTTTTCCCTGCCTGTTCCGTCAATCGTAAGATTGTGTTCTTGTGCATTTTTGATTAGCGTCTCTTTTCTTGACTATCTTTCATCTCATTTGCTCTAACTCGGTATAGTGGCGTATTCAAATGAAACCGATCTTCGTTAAATATTCGAGCATTAACCACGAGAGGTTTAGCTAGCTATAAATCCATGTTTAATCCACCATTTTTTACATGGTGAGATGGTGAGATGCAAGTGCCGAGTCGGGAATGTGACAGTTATTTTCCAATCGTTTGATGTGTTTCAGCTTTTGATTTTGCCATTTGATAAAGGACTTTCCGTATGAATTTTCTTGGAGTTCGGTATTTTTGTTATTTTACTTTTTCTTGAGTGGTTAGGTCAGTAAAGATCGCCAAGACATAAGTATAATCGTTTGCACTATGTTTTCAGTTAGCATCATCTCTACGATGATTAACTGAGGTGTGAACGTTTTTGTGTCTCTGCTTACTGTCGAACTATTGTGCGCATGCATTCCTCATCATCCATATGGATTGCAAAATAAATTTAATTCTTTACTTTCTACTTTAATATTGAAGAATCTGTGAATCTGTTTCAGATTGGTGTCATAATGTTAAAATTTCCACCTAGTAAAATCAATATTTTTAATACAAAATGAAGTTAGAATCAAATCTTTAAAACTTCATGGCAATCTACGCTTGTATGGCTGACCATAGTATAAAGGGTTTTTTTTTAATGTTATTATGGTAACCGGCAAATCAATCTTCATGGGATTTAATGGGGTTTTCTATAATTGATGGAATTTCTTAATTGTAAGTGTTATTGGCAGGTGAATAATTACAGGATGATGTATAATAAGTGTTTTTGTTTAGCCCCTTGATTTACGAAATAATAAATTCTTTAATATTTTTAAACTATATAAATCTTTCTCCAATGTATATGATCTGAATCAATCAATGATGTGTTAATATCAAATTTATCTCAAAAGCATCAAACATTTGTTATACTCTGAATGTATATAAAGTACGTTCACCAAAATGTTGTGCATCGTTGTTGAAAAAACTCAATATTGACAACAACTTTGATAAAACATAACTATTGTCATGTAACAAAATAACAAAAAAGAAATCTAAGTGATAAAGGTTCACCAACATTCTGTACATCGTGGTTGAAAAAATTCAATATTGACAACAACTTTGATAAAACATAACTATTATCATGTATCAAAATAACAAAAAAGAAATCCAAGTGATAAAGGTTCACCAAAATGCTGTGCATCGTGGTTGAAAAAATTCAATATTGACAACAACTTTGATAAAACATAACTATTATCATGTAACAACATAACAAAAAAGAAATCTAAGTGATAAAATATTGAATAAAGATATGAATAGATAGTTCATATAAAATGCTTTTAGAAAATAGAAAATAAGGTAACAAAATTTGCTTTCGTGTTCCATAACAGAATAGACAACTTAACTGTTCATTGTTTTATAAGACTGTATAACCTGAGTGCTCTCCCCTTATAGATTCTTTTGGTTTTTATGATTCTTTAACCAATAAAAATGGTTTATACCATTTTATGAAACCTTACCATTTTAATCATTATAATGAAATGTCCCATATATACAATACATTTCTGCATCAAAGTTTGGCAATTTCAGTAAAAATATGGACCGATCTTTTGAATTGATTTGCTATGGCCAAAATGTCGAAACAATCAAAAATCTTTTAGATCGGATTCCTAATGAAAATGAGTTAGAAAAGGTGAAAACGTGTTCATCATTGTCAAAACCTGGCAATGGCAAACAAATTTGTTGTTATCATCTGAAGGGTGGTTGATACATTAATGATAATTTGAGATTTTCAAATTCAAGGACACCACAAGCTAACCTAACCGTACATTCTCTCTTAATACAGAATCACTAGTTGTGTAAACGTACAATTGGTATGTATCTTTTTTTTTATATAGCTCGTCATATAATTACCTTTACGAAGGTACTTTCATATACATGTAAAGTATTGAATAAAAACGAACCTTACTTTGTTCAACCTTTAACGTATAAAACAGTTGAGTTTGAATGTCCCTTTTGGTATCTATTGCCTCTCTTTTGCTGTTGTTCATTCCTTCGTTTTGTTTCATATTGCCATGTTGTTTTTCTGTCATTTTCATATTTACTTGCCAAATTGATGTCTTCTAGAATTTTTTTATATTTCCACAACTATCGAATCTTGCAAAATTTAAACGCGTGACACCGATTCTAATGTACGACATATGTGATCTCAAATATCTTTCTCCAGGTTTTCAGTAGACCAACAATTGGAAAGCAAATACCCAAACATATAATTGGAGGTTGAAACCAAACGGACATAAACAACACCTTATGTCAACTTTGATTGAAGGAGTCATATTCTTAGTTTCGGTACAGTTAAATCATTATATCTAATGGAAAGTAACAGTCAAAACATGGGATTTCAAATAGAATACATTCATATATTCCACATCTTATTAATAATTTGCAAAATATTACATGTAATATATTTTTTTTAAAGATTTACTTTCAAACCTGTGTGCGTATAAGCATCACATAAACTTAAAATAAAATCAGAACATGCCTTTCTTTCATTTCTCGATGTGACAGTTGCTTATACGATACAGTTACAGTGGAGGTAATGCCGTTGCTAACGTAAATTGCTATTTTCGCGACGTCAAACTGTGACATTTCGGGGGGAAATGCATTTTTCGACTGATTTTAATGATTAGATTGAAAACATAGACCCCTCATTTTTATAATGACATTTGATTTGATTATGCATGAAGATTAATTGTACCAATTTTTATGAAAAAAATCACCGATGAAATTTTTTAAAGTTAGATAAATATACAGCAAAAAATGCCGGTTGTTTTTCTGAAATCATGTAACTTTCATGAAAATGAATTATTTCAAAAAAAATTGTTACTCAAATTTAAAGCATACTTATGTAAAGAAGATTTTCCATATATTTTTACAAAGATCCGCTTATGTAAATCTTTTAAAACAAGAAAAGTTAGGTATGTCTATTCAAAGGACAGAAATGTCCAAGAAACCGACGTTTTGAGTAAATGTCTAAAATTCCGTCCCCATTTATCTCTAAAAGTAGCGCATGAAGATATATTTTCATAACATATTTGAATTGACTAGGTGAAAAAAATCTTGTATGCAAATTTTCGTAAACAAAATCACCGTGGGATCAAAACTGTTTCGTATGCCCTTAAGGTCTTCCGCTATAAGCCGAAATGTCGACAACTCTGACATGAGATTTTACATGACCATAAATGAATGCAAGTTAGTGACAATGTATGGCATTGAACCCAAGTGAAATAAAAAAAAATAGCTGTCAACTTTTAAAGAAAATAAGGCGCACGTACACATATAAACTTCCCTTTCCGGGTGGCAAGAAATATGTAATAGTAGCGAGAACATATGAAACAGAAGACTTCAGAATGAATAATTTTAAAAGGATTTTTAATGAATTTCGTTTTAATTTCAGAAATTGTCCAAAGTTTGCACCATAATGGAAAATGCTGGAATACCACTGGTTAAGTCAGATTTTCAGTACACACGTTACGTCAGTACAGATGAACTAGTTGATGTCCAATCTATGAATAGTCTCAATATCATGGATGAAAAGAATAATTTAGGATTTAGACTTCGTCACAGAAAAGAATTGATAAGCCACAGATCAAAAGTAGTCGATGTATCGTTTGTTCTTAGTCTTGTAGGAATAATATGTAACGTGTTCCATTACGAGCTAGTTTTAGGAGATGTTATAATATACGATACTGCAGCATCTACCGTTTTACGGATAGTTACGACTATAACAACATGTTTTCTGGTTATTTCAATCATTATGTACAATTTGATTGGCATAAGACTACAGCTGGTGACAACAGGTCTTGACAACTGGAAGTTAGTCATTAATTCCAAAATTGTTGTCAAAACATTGCTAGAAATCATTATCTGTTCTATACATCCGATTCCATATGGAAATTTCACTACGCCAATGCTAGTATTAAATCCAGATACATTTCTTTATGAAACACATCAAGTACCAATTAATGCAATGTTATCGGTACTTATGTTTCTACGTATTTACATTTTAGGTAGATTTCTGGTTGTACACAGTGATCTATTCAGGGATACTACTGTGCAAAGTTTAGGGACACTAAGTAAGGTCAATATAAATGCAAAATTTGTATTTAAAGCTTTGATGTCAACCATGCCCGGGACCATTCTGACCGGTATATTAGTAACAACGCTAATCGTTAATAGCTGGGGCGTAAGGATATGTGAATATTATTCCTTCGAAAATTCTACTGTAAAATCTCCTGCAGGTAGCTATCTTAGCGCTGTATGGTTAATAGCAGTTACCTTTCTTACATTAGGTTATGGTGATATTGTTCCTTATAGCGTTTGTGGTCGTGTATTTGCAATTACAACCGGAATGATGGGCGTCGGTATAATGGCTCTGTGCGTTGCCGTATTGGCGAAGAAACTTGAACAAACACGTTCCGAGAAATACGTACATACATTTGTCCAGCAGATCCACATGGACAAAATTCGTCGTAATGCTGCAGCTGATGTCGTTAAGCAGTCAATGTTGATATGGCGGCTTCGCAAACTGGGCTATAGGCATACCAGCACCGATGTAATTCGTCATCGCAGGAAATTGATTTCCGCTATTCGCACAATGAATAAGTCCAGTGACGAAAAGTACAGATTGCGCGATAATGTCGTTGGTACTGTAGAAATTGCCAAAGGAGTGACAGAAGTATGTGATATGGTTGAAGTAATTAAAGACAATCAGGACTGCGTCAATAAAAGGCTTGAAAATTTAGAAGCTTCATCCGCCAATATACAAAAACAACTTTATGAAATTCGCAATTTACTCCGAACAAATTTAAGATGATAAGTCCAATCTATTAGACCCTTGAACATTATTTGGCAAACTTCAATAATACAACATTGACATCTGTTCGTCTGAAAAGTGTCGTTAATGTGATTATAATACATGTATTATGCGTGCACTGCAATCAATGGTTTGTCTCCATATGATTTACAGAAAGATTTTCTAATGAAAATGAAACGCACATCAAATTATTCCCAATAATAAGAATGTTAATCTTGTCAGTTTTGTATAACATGTAGGACAAGGGTTAACCTTGTACGCAGAGAGAATAACCCTAGGAACAGTATACTGACTACCAATATATTATTCCCAGGAAAAACCGGATCAAGCAGTGGTTTCAGGATTATTGGCGGTAATGAACAAGATGTTAGTTTGCTGACGGGCATAACTGTGATTGTCACTTCCTGTCATGTGTGTCATCAATTATAGTCGCATATCATGAAATCATCTCATGAATTGTGTTTGGATATTCTTGTGATCGCATATCTCATAAACGAAATCCAAGTTTTTCATGTTACTTAAACGGTTACATATTATTAACCAAATATTCCAACCTCACCTTAGTTTGTTTAATGGAAAGTTCAAATAAGTAAACGTTCTATGTAAATCCCTTATTCATTCCGTAGAATACTAACAGTAGTAATATATATGAACACGATTTGAATATATGTTCACTTTGTACATTTCCAGTTCGTCGTACCAATTTTAGTTCTATAATGGAAGTATCCAGATAAATAGTTGGTGGCTTATCGACTTACGCACACAATCTCAGTGGGACTTCAGCCTATATTAGGTCTGTTAATGTTCATAAAGTAGTGAACAAAAAAGTTTCTTCTCAATTAAATTATGCATACCTTTTATGACAAAATTAGTTATTATTTTATGCAAATTTTGAGTAACCTCTACCATTCCACTATTTTTGTAACTGCAAGCACAAATGAAATTAATTATGGTAGAAAAACTTAGAAACTGGCGCTTGTTGTCTTATTAGTACGCTGTGGACATGGTTTCGACATTTTTAGTTTCTTTTCTATTCAGGCTTTTACTCTGATGTTTTCAATTTCAGTGTTAGCAATCCAGAGTTGTAAAGTTCAAATTAAACCCGCATACGGTAATTTACATTTCCAGTAAAAGTGAAAAATGGCATAAAGATCAGGCTCGATAGCGTTACAGATTTATTTGATTATAAAGAAAAAAATTCAGATCATTTGTATATAAATTAGAAGTTTAGAAAATTGTTGTAAATACAGAACAAATCACTTTCACGGTAATATTACAATGGATACGTTATTGTTACTGTTGAAATTAAATATAATATTCCTTTTTTGTTTGTTATTTGTAAAGTGTTGTCAAGTGCACCAGAAAAGAGGGACGAATGATACCAGAGGGACAGTCAAACTCATAGATCGAAAACAAACTGACAACGCCATGGCCAAAAATAAAAAGACAAACAGACAAATAATAGTACAGATGACACAACATAGAAAAGCAAAGACTAAGGAACACGAACCCCACCAAAAACTGGGGGTGATCTCAGGTGCTCCAGAAGGGTAAGCAGATCCTGCTCCACATGTGGCACCCGTCGTGTTGCTTATGTTATTACAAATCCGGTAAATAGTCTAATTTGGTAAGTCACATTCGTGAAAAGGAAGGGTATTGAAGTTACGACATAAGGAACATATCCGATATCATCTGTGAAACGGTTATTCCATAATGGTCAACCAACTCGTGATGAAAATAGGGTAAATAAACATAGGACGAAATAACAAACATTCACATATCACGATGACAATATTTTTTCTTATGATACCAGCAAAATCAAAATGAAACCGGTTTGCACACAGCACATAAAACAAAATAGAAAATCCCACAATGTGTGCAAAAAGAAAGACAACAGTAGTTTAGCGATTTTTGTACCTCGTAAATCCATTTTATTACACAAACCAAGTGATCACAATTGATGGAATGGCATCAAATCCAAAAGACCTGGTTGCGTCGACAGGGTAAACGTGAATAACATTGAAAAGGGACGTATAGAAGCAGAGTATGCGTAGCTTTTACATAGATTAATGTCTATATTTCTATAAACTTGTGGCATTGAGTCTTTGTCTCATTGGTGTCAACTGAAAAAATATTTCATACATAAGTCATTCGGGTCATGAAATAGAAATTTCTTCGACGAGACAATTACCCCAAAAAATCAATTTATATATTAATTTTCCCCCAAGATTATGTCCGTTTTTAATGACACATATTTATTCAAAATCTTTTGAATTTAATCTTAAAATGATAAATGTTGCCTTTTCATAAAGAAGATTTTTCTAACTTCGAAGTTACCTTTCCTTGAGACATATGCATCTTAACAGTAAATGAAAACAACACATTATCAATTTTATCCGTCCGAACGCTTTTTCTGGATTTACCTTCACCAGGAACGCCCAAAACCCGAAACAAAATGAAAGTCAAGGGTGTATAAATACTTGTGATTATACAGAATATCCAAATCTACAGAAGGTCAACTTATATACTCATACCGCATACATAGCAAGGTATAAAAGGCCCAGATGTTACAAAATGTGAAATAATTCAAACGAGAAAACCAACGGCATGATTTAGATACAAAAAACATAAGCATAGCATAAGCATAAAGCATACAAGATTAATTTAAAGTCGATTGTTCATATAACTATACAACATAAGCTCTATAGAGCTTTTAACCGACATACATATCATAAACACGTGACATAAAACACATAAAACATAAAGCACATCATACATAGCATGAAAATGGTATCAAATCACAGCAAATTGTAGCAAATAATATGCAAATGAAAGCATATAAAAGCAAACATAAAATGCAGACAAACTGACATTCATGCAGTAGCTATTATGCACTTAAAGAATTTTAAGCATTTACAACAGAATTAAAAGGTATGCAAACAAGAATATAAAAGCCAGAGTATATGAGATAAAGAATAGTTCTACACCTCACTAAGGTCTGCACGAGGAACACGAACTGGCCTCCCAATTACCAACCAAACTTTTAAACTGACCCAAAGGCATTTCTTCCCTCGTCTTTTTCGGCAGCTCGTTCCAGAGTTTGACTCCTGCATATCTGAATGTGCAGCCCATGGGTAGTTTTCCTTAGCCCGGGAAGATCAGCTACTAGTATATTGTCATTTCTGAAAGAGTAAGCACAGCTTTTCATATCAATAAGATCATGTAAATACAGTGGACATTTTATTAACATTTTTATAAACCTCTATTTCTAACATTCTAATTCTTCTGATTTTTCAACTTGGTAATTTTAATTTAGTTAAAAGTTGTTGATATGTGCTACAATAATCCTCATAAATAAACAAACGAAAAAAAAAATGATATACAGCAACAAACGACAACCACTAAATTACAGACTCCTCATTTGGGATATTTGGGATAGGCACATACAGAATGTTGCGGGATTAAACATGTTTGCGGGCGTCCAACCCTACAGTGATTTAATTGTTACTTTAAATAAAGATTCCATGTGTGTGAAAAATTTAAAGGTCTTGCAAAATAAGTGTTTCGTGTTCTTAATTTGTAAAGCTACCAACATAGTTACGATCCTTATTTCAAGTTCAATAACATGAGAATAAAACTGTAAACACAAAACAAAAGAATTATGAGGTATGGAGAAATAACATTTATCTAATGCGGAGTATGCCACTAAGCAACTACATTAACATTTACAAGTGACAGAGACGCCTCCAAAATGCCTAACATTTACATTTATACGAAGAAGGATCTACCAACGCAAATAACACGACTAACATTTACTCATTTTGACTTTGAACTCGACATAACATTTATATTCGCCAAATACTATAAAATGCTAGTAAAATTTAGAAAAGAAGGACATCCTAAAATTTCTATTAGGGTTGAGTTCAAATCTGTTATTTTTTTAGGACGTACAATTAGAAGAAATTTCATCTTCAGGGTTTCGAGGAATATATTTACATAAGAAATGTTGAAAAAAAAATTTTACATTTGTACACCTATAAATCAAGAATGCATGCATAAAATCGACAAATTCCTGAATGTAGACTGATGCATAACCTTAGAAGAAAATTAACGTCAGATTTATGACCTTAGACAGGTAATATACTAGTACACTGATAATGGACTAAAGACGGGAAGTTTGCGTTTGATTTCTGACCTTAAACGGAAAATTTACTTCTGATTACTGACTTGAGACGAAAAATGTACGTCTGATTACTGAATTCAGACGGTACATTTATATCTGATTCATGAGAAGTGAACGTATGATTCCTGACTTTAGACGGGAATGTAGTCTTTGTCCTGACTTCGGACGGTAAAGTTACGTCTGATTCCTAAATTTTGTCAGAAATGAAGTTTTGATTCCTGACTTTAGACGGGTATGTACGTCTGATTTCCTGACTTTAACGGGTAATGTACGTCTGACTCTTTACTTTAGGCAGGAATTTCACGTCTGATTCCTTACTTTTGGCAGCAAATGGACGTCTGATTCCTGACTTAAACGGGTAATGTATGTCTGATACCTGACTTTAAGCTGGTAATGTACGCCTCATTTCTTACTTAAGACGGGCAATGTAAGTCTAATTACTGGCATTGGACGATTAAAGAATGTATATTCTTACTTTGAGCAGGTGATGAAAGTCTGATTCATGAATTTGTACGGTTAATGAACGTCTGATTCCTGGCTTTTGGACGAGTAATACTAGTATACATAAAAATAAGAAGATGTTGTATGATTGCCAACGAGACAACTCTCCACCAGAGACCAAATGACACAGACATTAACAACTATAGGTCACCGTACGGCCTTCAATAGTGAGTAAAACTCATACCGCATAGTCAGCTATAAAAGGCCCCGAAATGACAAATATAAAACAATTCAAACGAGAAAATCAACGGCCTGATTTATGTACGTCTGGTTTCTGTCTTTTGGTCGTAAATGTATATTCGAATCCTTGCTTTAAAAATAACTTATCGAAGATACTAGGCATATAATTTGGCATACTAAGAGTACATGCGCGTTTCGTCTACATAAGATTGATCATTTTGAGCTCGATTCAAAAGTTGGAAGGCCAAATCTAATACAAAATTGAAGAGCATTAAAAACTGAAAATTCCGAAAAGTTGTGCTAAAAAACACACTCAAGTCAATTAATGCCTGAGGGTAGAAAAAAAATGCAACATTTTATAAACAGTTAATTTACGAATGAACATATCAACGATATGTAATATCAACACAAAGGGCTGACAACTGGACTGGTGATACCTTTGGAGCATCAGTAGTGGCGTCGACCCAGTGGTTAACTTAAAAAAACTCATCAAAGTGATACCAGACCTACAATTTGGTACGCCAATTACGCTTATCGTCTACACAAGGCTAATCAGTGGCACTCATATCAAAACAGTTGGAAGGTCATATATTTGAGTCGGTAATGAACATCTTATTGCTGACTTTTGACGGATAATGCACAGATAATGCACGTCTGATACCTGACTTTTGATTACTAAGACCTGGCTTTTGAAGGGTAATGTGCATCCGATTCCTAATTTTTTGAAGGGAATGGAACATCTGTTTCCTGAATTTTGACGGGTAATGAACATCTGATTCATGGATTTTGACGGGTAATGAACATCTGATTCATGGATTTTGACTAGTAATGAATATCTGATTCATGGATTTTGACTGGTAATGAACATCTGATTCATGGATTTTGACGGGTAATGAACATCTGATTCATGGATTTTGACGAGCAATTAACATCTGTTTCCTGAATTTTGACGGGTAATGGACTCTGGTTTCCGGTTTTGAACAGGTAATGAACTTCTGTTTCCTGGATTTTAACAGGTATTGAACGTTTAATTTCTGGATTTGAAAGGCAATGAACGTCTAATTCCTGATTTGGACAGGTAATGAAGGTTTTATTCCTGGAATTAAATAGGTAATGAACGTCTTATTTCTAGATTTGCTGGCGAACAAAATTTTAATCCTGGTATTTATAATGAGTTTATTTACAACCAATGGGTCAATGCCACTGCTGGTGGAGGTTTCCTCCCCGAGGGTATCACCAGCCCAGTAGTCAGAATTTTTGTGTTGACATGAATTATCATTGGTATGGTCATAATTATGAATTAAATGTTTACTAAACTTTGAATTTTTCGAAATACTAAGAATAGTCTACCCAATAAATAGATTTTCTTACTGTATTTGGCAAAAGCTTTCGGAATTTTGCTCTTCAACTTCGTACTTTTTTGGGCCTCCTAAACTGTTAGATTTGACCGTAACTAAAAC